TCGTCTCGTCTCAATTCCTGATTCTCGGATGTCTTCAATTCAGCATTATCGCAGCTTTCACGTCGGTATCGTTAGTATCTTCAGTATCTTCCAGCAGTTGATCACCACGTCGCTGGCACGCAGTTGGCAGCTTCAAGAGGTCTGCGTCGACTGTTGTAGTAGACGCGTCAGACCGTATCTAGAAGCAGTAGAAATGGTAAGAAATGAGTGGGTTGAGCCTAGTCTAATGTGACGGATCCAATTCCAGGCAATAGAGCAGTTTCTTATCACTAGGAGCGATCTAAATTACAAGAGACTAGGCTGGGAGGAGAGGAGAAGAAGGAAGGGAGCCAGGTCGCTAGCGAGGCGATTTATGCAAGTATTCTGCCGTACCTATACCTCACCGCTTTTCTCACCGCTCACGTGACGACAGGCAAGTTGAATCGTCACACTATCTATCTGCGAGTCTCAGGCTGTTTGGCAGGCTGGTATGGGCAGGCTCTATAGACAGGACGTAGCTCGAAGAGCTACAGCAGGCTCGGAACTGGGCGATGAAGATATTCCCTCGGTCACGTGACTCTTATCCGCGTTAGCGCCGTGACAAATAGGAACCTATAAAGAAAGCATCTACAGAGACTGTTAAGGAAGCAACTGGCTGGCAGTTACAGGCCCTTCAGGCAGACAGGGAAGCCTTAGAGAAGGCTATATAGGCTTGGAAGGAACTTGCTGCCAGCAATCCACCCCTAACAGATGCCTGTTCAGAGGAGGATATAGAAAGGGAGGCTTCATAGATCCAAGAATCTATGATAGGAGTCTTGAACTGCTTCGCCAAACTAACACAAGTATGTCCTTATTCAAAACACTAGTGGCAAGCAGAAATCAAGCTGGCCAGAGGGGCATATGCCCAGGTAAGGCGGGCATGGCAGACAGGGACCTTAGGAGATAAGGAACATCAAGAAGCCTAGAACACCTACTATAGAGCCATACGGCAGGCAAAGCGGGAGTGCTGGGAAGCCTTTCTAGTAGGGCCTCTGGAATCTAGGGACCGCCTAGGCCCAGAGGATGCTACCCGATGCTGGAAGGCCCTTTGGTATACCACCCCGAAAGCTTCAAGTACGACCCCTACCCTCCGGGGCCCCCAGGGCCAGGTGGCGACCACTATTACTGAGAAGGAGGCCCTAGTCCGGGAGGTGGCATTCCCACCAGCCCCTAGAGGGAGCCCTCAAGAAGACCTTCCCTGTGGGAAGATTCACACTCAGGTTAAGGAAGAGACAGTACGGCGTGCCTTATTTAGCCAGGCAATCCAGAAAGCCCCGGGGATAGACAGGCTAAACTTCCGAGCTCTACGGCTCCTATGGAGCTGGGACAGCCCCCGGATAGTGGCATTGGCTAGGCAATGCTTTCGCCTAGGGGTTCATCCCCAGGCATGGAAAGTGGCAAAGGGGATCCTGCTCCGGAAACCCAATAAGCCTGACTATACCCTAGTCAAAGCATATAGGGTGATCAGCCTGCTCAACTGCCTGGGGAAGGTTATAGAAAAGATAGCGGCAGAGGCCATATCCGACTATTGTGAAACCATGGGGGTCCTACATCCTGGCCAAATGGGGAGCCGCAGGCACCGGAGCGCCATAGATGCCGTGGCATGCCTGATCCAGGAGGTGCACCAGGGCTGGGGACAGAAGCAGCTTGCAGGGGCTCTTTTCATGGATGTAAAGGGAGCCTTTGACCATGTGGACCCAGCCAAGCTAGTTAGAAGGATGGGGGAGTTAGGGTTAGATGGGGACCTGATCCGCTGGGTACGATCATTCCTAGCTGACCGGAGGGTTCAGTTAGTAGTTGATGGTCACCAGTGCCCAGAGCACCCCATTAACTCCGGGGGTCCCCCCAAGGATCCCCAGTATCCCCCATACTGTTTGTGATCTACCTGAGCGGAGTCTTTGGGGCTA